TTTTAATTTTCCAAATTAGATTACCTATCACGTTAATCTCGTTGACCTTGCTCCACCTTTCTCTATTTTTTTTTTTCACAAGTTTAACAGAAACAAACTATTTTTGTCATAGGTATTGTGTGTTAACAAAGAAAGGGAATATATGACAGGAATAAGACAAACCATAGTCTGTGCAAACGTTTATCAGATATTGAGCCATGAAGTCAGCTATTTTATTCATTGCATCTTGTGTTTTCATGATTCTTGTTTTGAGCTATCCTAATGGTAAGATAACAAGTTCATTACTTGCAGACTAAACCTTTGCAATTTGATCAATTTGTTTATTTAAACTTCTGTGACTCTTTTTTGTTGTTGATATAAAACAATAAAAAGAGGTCAAAGCTGCCCCCAAGAGGTGTCACTATACACGAAGGTTTCGCGGAACATGCGGAAATGATATGAATGAAGGGAGCAAGTTGTGCTTAGGCAATTTCCATAAAATGAACTTACTTAAATATGATCTTTGTGGATGTGTTGGCGGTTTCCCTTGGCCTCGCGATTTACCAGTCCGTATTTGCAATTGCAGTCGTCCTTGCTAAGTTTATTATGTATCCATAACCAAAGTTGGTTTACTAATAAGTAGATGAATAAGTTATAATAAAAAAGGCTTGGACTGTTTGGTGTTTTATTATTAAAACTCGTGTCAACGTTCTGTAATATGATTTCAATTTTTTGTTATTATTATTATTATTATTTAAATCGATACATAGAAAAAACATGCTTTCTGCTCTAAGACAGTTGGATCATGTCTAAAGTTGGCTACCTTTGATGCGTTTCTGCGTCTGTCTCCTCATTATATGCTGATAGGCTTTCTTTCCCAAGTGATTCTATTTTTGCCTTATCTTAATTCTTCTGTCCTCATGTGAAGTTCATATCGCTTAATACATTCAGCTGATGTTGGTTTCGAACAAAGAAATAAACACATTGCACAAATACTAGTGGTTTCTTCTCTAAACAAAAAAATAGAATGCATTGCACAGCCAGCTCCTGAAACTAACCACTCACAGGTCTCTCCTTGTCAAAATGTAAGAATGGCTAACTTCATTTGAGCGTATGTATGTGAAATAACCAAAGAATTTTTCACCGATTTTGACTTTGTCCCTACATTTCCCCGCATCTCAGGCCGTGGTTGCTCACCCAGCTTGGAACATGCCAGAAGCTCATAAATTCTCGATTTCGAAAGGCCAAAGAATCTAAACTTCTTGATACGAAACACAATATAAGAGGCTGATTAATTATGCTTCCTAGTCAGAACATTTTGAATTTAAATACTTCCCTGCCATTCAAGAGGCTCCCAAAGCTACAAATGAAAGCGTGAGATCTCCCATTTTCACTGGCATCATGGTTTTTTGTAATGGGCGTGGTCACCATGATTAGAGTGACTAAAAACATCCCGAAGAAGCTGACCAAGTCAACCATATACTCGAGCTCTGTTTACTGCAACGACAGTTTGATGAACAAGAGCACAATGCAGCCAGAGAAAATGGCCACAGAAACCATCTCAAGGGAAGCATTCATAGCTATCATGAAATAGATGGCTGAGCTCGAGCAGAAAGTCACCATCTTGAGTGTGCAGCCAAAAAACTATGCCTCCTGAGAAAGAAGAGATGCTGCCATTAGCCTAGTCAATGTCTTGGAACAAGAGCTCGCTGCAACCAAGAAGGTAACATCAATAAATAAATAAATAAAACTTTCTCTCCAGCTCTTTTTTTTTTTCTTATCATGCATTCAATGTGTCTTCCACGATCCCTCTTGGATCTCATCAAATTATTTTTGAGAATTAAATCATGTACAGTTTACTTACAAGCATTAAATGAATATTTTGTATTCTGAAATTGTCGAAAGCATAAATTTTTTTTTTTTTGTATATACTATTTAAAGTGCTATAAATTAAAATAATATGTCAAAAGCTGTAGTTTAGTGGTGAGAATTCCACGTTGTGGCCGTGGAGACCTGGGCTCGAATACCAGCAGCCACACTAAATTTTTATTTTATTTTTGTTCTTTCTTTTTACCAAGCCTCCGACCAAAATAGAAGGTTCTACTTGTATTCAAAGAGTTGTTGTACTGGACGCACTTTCGAGGCTTTGGAGTTAGGTTTAACTACACCGGCTTTCAGTGGAAACTTCGAACAAAAAGAGAGGTTGCTGCCAATCTACGTCAGACACGTGTCTCATTTCACTGCACCCACGTGCTTAGCCGGTTACTTGATCCATCTAATAAATCTTTCGCTCTTCCTCTCTATTTGTTTGTATATTCGTGTACGCATTGTACATAAAAAATCTAATAAAGCTTATTCTATTTCCTTTAATTAATTACAAATCGACGGTATAGTAATAATATTTTACACATTAACTTCTTTGATTCAATAACCAAGCCTGATTCTGTAATTTAATTCGTAATAATTAAAATACTGTTTATTATATACGAAGAGTCCAACCATATCCAGATATTTTATATATACATTTCTCTAGAATTTAGATAGTTTGTAACTGAAGTTTTTTTATTTAAGGAGGAGAAACAAAATATCTCAGAAGAATGTCGTTTTCGTAATTAGCAGACTTTCCAAAAAACAATTTTATTTTATTTTATTTGTTTTTTCCTTGAAAAGAAAAAGAAGTAACAAAAGCTTCTTCATCAACACAACGTATTGCTTCCTCTTCTTCCTCTTCTCTACCATTCCAACGTATGGGTCTCACCACTTCCTAACTTTCTCTCTCTATCTCTCTTATATCTTCTTGATAACTATGAAGAAGCCATCTCAATTCAGATCCAATCATACCCTTCTCTTCTTTCTCTGATCACCAAACTAGCACACAACAACAACAACGACTCGGGTTCTGTATTACAATTTGGGTATGTTGAAATCTCCATTTTTTTGTTTGTTTTTCTTGCATGATTTACCTTGTTTTACTGCGAATTTTGAGTTTGAATTCGATAAAGAGTTTGAATTATGATTACGCCGAAAGTTTACTTTTTTTTTTTGGGGAGTAGTAAGATTGATAGCTAAGTAAAGAGAAAGGATGATAAAGATTGAATTTTCTCTTTTTCAATAGGAATAACGTAAAGAATAAAAAGCTGCAATGATTCATAAAATCCCTAAAATTTCGAAAATCCCTATAAACCCTTTTTGAAGATTCCCCAATTTTGGAAAAAAGACTGAGAATTTGGGTTTTTTGTTGATGTTTTAGCAGAAGGATGGCGATGTTAGTTGAGCCACCAAATGGGATTAAACAACAAGGGAAACATTACTACACGATGTGGCAAACATTGTTCGAAATCGATACTAAGTATGTTCCAATTAAACCCATTGGAAGAGGAGCTTACGGTGTGGTTTGTTCTTCCATCAACCGAGAGACCAACGAGAGAGTCGCCATTAAAAAGATTCACAATGTGTTTGAGAATCGAGTTGATGCTTTGAGAACGTTGAGAGAACTCAAACTTCTTAGGCATGTGAGGCACGATAATGTCATCGCGCTTAATGATGTCATGTTGCCTTCGAATAGATCGAGTTTCAAAGATGTTTATTTGGTTTATGAGCTAATGGATACTGATCTTCATCAGATCATCAAATCCTCTCAGACTCTCTCTGATGATCACTGCAAATACTTCTTGTTCCAGGTAATGTTAAAAACCTCCCCAACGTTAAGTCTTTACATTTCGAGTATTATCTTATTGACATAGCTTCTGTTGTTGTATTGGTTTAGTTGCTTAGAGGATTGAAGTATCTTCACTCAGCAAACATCCTTCACCGAGATTTGAAGCCTGGAAAGAGCCAAAATATTTCCCATTG